ACTGCTCTATTCAAGAGAGTCTATTTTATTGGCTTTCAAAAGCCAATAGAATAAAAGGGAGTAGCACAGCTAAGGAAAAGGGGGGGGAAATGGCGGACTGTGTTGTTTGGCGACCCCCGTGAAATGGTCGTTCGACCCCAAATGGGGTCCCGACCCACAGGTTGAGAACCACTGTGTTAGATAGTGTTTGTAGGCGTGTCTAATGGGGGGGGGAAGACCTCAGAGTGAAGAATAGTCTCTTTTTCTCTCCAATCCAGAATCTTCCTATTTTTTCTCTCTATTAAATGGTTGCTAGGACTTTGAGGTATGGTTGTATTGGTGCTAATGACCAGATGAATATAAATGTAAATATAAACCTTTTCATTCCCCACCAGTCAGTTAGAACAGAAGAAGCTTCTTGGATGAGAAGGAAAAAGAAAGAAAGTCCAGGTACCTTTTGAAAAATCACCTTTAGGTCAACCATGACCAAGATGACTGAGAATTTCCATAGACATCTGGAAGTTGAAGTCCACATATCACATACCGTATATTCCGGCATATAAGGCGACGGCGTATAAGACGACCCCCAACTTTTGAGAAGATTTTCATCTTATACGTCAGAAAATACAGTACAATATTGAATTTGTGTTTATAGATGAGCACAATAGGAGCTCCATTCCTTTGCTGCTAGAAAGCTTTGTCCTGTTAGTGCTTATTTCTGTAAAAAAAAAAAATAGGGCTGGCCACTAGGGGGCAGATTGGTTTTAAATTCAGAGAACAGCTACCTGTATATTCCGACTTTTGAGAAGATTTTCAGGGTTTAGAAAGTCGTCTTATATCCCGGAAAATACGGTAGTTGTCCAGCTTGAGATAAAGGGGGTTGGACTAGAAGACCTTCAAGGTCCCTTCCAACTCTGTTACTCTGTTATTCTGTTACATGGGATCCTGTCCTGGGAAGGAATTTAGACTAGTTGATTCTATGGTCACTTCCAATTCAGTGATTCCATAATAAATAAAACCAAATCAGAATTATTTTCTATTCTAACTCCACCTATTACTTTTGAAGCATGGCCCCCCAACATTCCATTCAAAAGTGAAGGGGGAGGAAACTGCCCATAATAGCATTTGGAGGTTAATAGAAACAATATAGGCCAGTGGTGGCGAACCTGTGGCACAGGTGCCAGAGGCGGCACTCAGAGTCCTCTCTGTGGGCACGTGCGCCATTGCCCCAGTCCTAGGCCTTCAGCTGGGTTTATAAAACCTTTTTGCTTTAGGCCTCCGCCGCCATGTGCAAAAAAAAAAAAGGTTCAATCAGTCAATTTCAACTTCTTGCAGGAAAAAGATTTTGCAAAGTTGGAATTGATTGATTGAACTTTTTAGTCCCACCCAGTCTTCCGTTACCACGGCAGCCACGCCCACCCAATGGGCCATGCCCACCCAATGGGCCACACCCAGCCAATGGGCCACACCCACCCGGCACTCGACGATGCATAAGTGGGTTTTCAGTTGCAGTTTGGGCACTCAGTCTCTAAAAGGTTCGCCATCACTGATATAGGCTCTTGCCAGACAGCAATTTGGTGTAGGGGTTGAGACATCAGGCTAGAAATGAGGAGTCCATGAGTTCTAGTCCTGCCTTAGGCACCTAGGTGGCCTTGGGTCAGCCATTTTTGTTCAGCTTCAGAAAGGAGGCAATGGCAAACTACTTCTGAAAAACATTGCCAGGAAAACTGCAGGGACTTGTCCAGGCTTTATCCAAAAACCTGACATGACTGAATGGAAAAAAAGAAAAAAGCTCTCATCTTGTAACTGGAAATTATTCCCTCAGATTGACACATCTAGTGCCAGCAACAGGGGACAAGGATGGAAAGATGGAGGCTGCCTTGTCTTGGTTAGGTGGGTAGTGTTTAGGAAAGGCTGGAAACAGGTCCAGATTGATATAGTGCAGTGATGGCGAACCTTTTAGAGACCAAGTGCCCAAAAACTGGCCCCGCCCCTGCCCCACCCCCTGCCCCGCCCCCACCCTGCCTGCCCACCATCTCCAGGGCCCACCGCAGATCACCCAGGCAGCCCAGCAGTGCCATGACAGCCACACCTTCTGCCAGCACCCTGCATCATCAACTGTACGTGTTGGGGCATGAGGGCAGAGTCTTGTCTACACTGCCTAGCTGCCATGTCCTTGGCTGCGCTGCTCCGTGTGGGCCATGCTCGGGGGTGACTCTCCTCCAGGGGGGTTGCTGGTAAGGAGGAGGTCACGAGCAGAGGCAAGGCTGGGGCAACGGCAGGTGTGCCCATAGAGAGGGCTCCAAGTGCCGCCTCTGGCACCTGTGCCATAGGTTTACCACCACTGATATAGTGCATTCATATCCTGAACAAACAGTGGGACATTTTCATGCAGGAGAAAAGAGGTCCTGCAGTTGCTGTGTTTGATTCTTTAGGTTTAAGCTAATTATGGAGAATAATAGAGTTGGAAGGGACCTTGAAGGTCTTCTACTCCAGCCCCCTGGCTCAAGCAGGGAACTCCATTACATTTCAGACAAGTGACTGTCCAATCTCTTCTTAAAAACTTCTCCACAACTTCTGAAGGCAAGCTGTTCCACTGGTTGATTGTTTTCACTGTCAGGAAATTTCTCCTTAGTTGCAAGTTGGTTCTCTCCTTGATTAGTTTCCATCCATTGCTTGAGAATAAACTATTGGGCACCATTTGTAGGCCACATCAGTTCTACAAAGCTGGAGAAGAGAAAAAGGGTTAAGAAATCTCTATAAAATGGTGCTCTTGATAAGCCTGAAAGGAAAGAACAAATTGTATACTGAGTTCAGAGCACTTTAACCTAGGTATAGATTAAAAAGGAAGGATCAGCCAATTCAGAGCTGACAAAAACACTCTTACAAAAAGAGATTCTAGTCTAGGTTTTTTTGAGGGTGGGGGAAGAGAAACACACACCATCCCATCCAATAATAAGCTTCACTGCTGAGTTGGGGTAGGAGCATAAAAGGTTGTAGAATAAAAGTGGCATCAGAAAATATTTCCTGTGCAGTGTCTCTCACAGCTGGTTTCTCCACAAAGAACTCACCTATTTTATCTTCTTTGCAGGTAAGTAAGATGCGATCCTTCCTTCCTTTCTATTCTTGACTTCTTCATATTGTGGATATTGTTAACTACCTTTTTAATGGTCTGCAATTATGAAATGCTTTTTCAGTGATTTTTTTGAAAACTATCAGAAATTTTGCAGCTCTCCGAAGGCATGATATGCTCAGAAGACCTTTTGAAAGTCCTGATTCATTTTTGACTGTATGATTCCATTTTGATGGCCGTTCCTCCCCACTTGTCATTTTGATCATTTTTCGTAGCTCACTCAGCTATTGTTGGTGAGACCAAGATATTCTATGGCTTCAATTATTCTGACACTGTAATTTCTGACACTGTGATTTTAGAAGACAATATAAGTGACCACAGAATCTCTCAGAACTAGTCTTGCACAATTTACAATTTGTTCACTCTATTCAGGCTGAAATTGAGAATGGATGGATTGATTGATTACATAGCATCAAGTCAGTGTGGTGACATCAATTTTCTCCATGGTGTCTCCCAATATGAGGTTTACTTAATTACTATTTTACTACAACTGATTGAATAATTATGTGCCATCAAGTCATTTTCAAGCCTTGCCCACACCAACTTCAGGGGTTTCCTCCCCAAAATGTGTTACAATATATCGATGAAGACTCTCAATCATCCAGGCCAAGGTGTCTAAAGTCTAAAGGTTCATTCCTCTGACTGATGAAGCTGCTTGGATAAGTAGCAAAACATCTCAGACTAGCAAAAAATTAGTCCAGTTGGCCTGGATGATTGAGAGTCTTTATCAATATACTTTCAAACAATCTTTCCATGCTCTGTTTCTCCTCCTAACAACTGTATCCATCCTGGGATCCTTTGCCTTTAGCTATGAGGACTTTCTCATGAAAAACTGGAGCTGGGTGGCCAATAAATTTAAATAAAGAATGGAATGGAGTTGAGTTGAATTGAGTGGAGTGGAGTAGAATATTATTAGAATAGAATAATATTGGAATAGAATAATATTGTGACCCATACCATTTATTATTCTATTAATCATATAAACAGCCACTGGCCCAAAGCACAGCTAACTTCGCTCTCCTTGAAGCTAGACATAAATGAAATCAAGACTAGTTAGTTAGTTAGTTAGTTAGTTAGTTAGTTAGTTAGTTTTAGTTAGTTATTAAATGTCTATCCACCCATCTCATTGATACAGCAACTCTGGGTTGCTTACAATATAATAAAAGATTAAAATATATTAGAAAGCAATTAAAATTAGAAAAATTGAATAGAAAAGCTAAAAACCAACATGATGGGTGGCCTGTGAATAGAGATCTTCTCCACCCAGTCAGTCACCCCCAACATAACCTGGAGTCCAGGTCAACCTTTTAGGCTTTTCTGGAAGGCCAGGATTGTGGAGGAGGGTCTCACATCCAAATGGAGAATATTCCAGAGAGTGGAGCCACAACAGAAAAGACTCTTCTCCTGCACTCTGCCAGGCATTTCATTATTCAAACTAGGTAACATCATCACTGCTAAGTAAGGGGTAGGGTTCATCTACATTTATATTCTAGTGCATTCCTTGTCACTGTTGAGGGGGTGGTCTTAGAGGTTCTTTGGCTATGCTGTTTTATTGTCAGCTTGTTTGGAAGTTCCTTGATTGGGATATTGTTTACTTCTTGGTTGTTGGTCCGATGTAAATCTTACTAGCACTGATGATGTGACCTAGTTTGTTACTGAAATGTCCGCAAGAAAACAATCAAGCTCAGAGAGCGCCAAAAAGCGCACATTTCAAACCTGAGCTATAAATATTCTCCTTTGCTGGTACTCCCAATGCCTGCACATAATAAGTGAATGTCTCTTATAGACGAGGCAACTAAAAAAACTGAAGGTGCAAATCTATACTGCCATTCCAAATATCCCAAACTGAACCATTCAACCATTCCTTGTTTCAGCTGATGCAGAGACAATGATGCCTTTCAAAGAATCCTTCCACACTCTGCTTCTCCTCCTAACAACTGAATTCATCCTGGGATCCTTTGCCTTTAGCTATGAGGACTTTCTCATGAAGCACTATGACTTCCCTAGGAGCCTCGTTGGAAACCACTATTGCAATGCCATGATGCAAAACCGGGGAATGACCAGGCCCAAATGCAAGCAAGTTAATACCTTTATACATGACACCAAGGCCTACATCATTGACGTGTGTGACAGAAAAGGGGTGTTTTATGGGCATGAGCTACGCCATAGCATAAAGATATTTACAGTCACCACCTGCACTTTGAGAGGTTCCAACCCTCGAGCGCCTTGTAACTACAAAGAAAATCTTTCACCCAAAAACATAGTTGTTGCATGCTTGGATGGAAAACCTATACACTATGAGGAAGGAGATTTTGCAATGGTGCATGAAGGTGAATCATCTGATTAGCATGAGGTGTCAACTCTTCTGTTGATTCCTCTGTGTCAGCTCCTGAAAGCAGGAAAAAAAGTAACGGATGGAAGCTTATCAAGGAGAGATCCACCTGGAACTAAGGAGAAATTTCCTTACAGTGAGATCAATTAATCAGCAGAATGGCTTGCCTTCAGAAATTTTGGGTGGAGGTTTTTAAGAAGACATTGGACAGTCATTTGTCTGGAATGGTATAGGATCTCCTGCTTGGGAAGAGAGTGGACTAAAGAACCTCCGAGGTCTCTTCCAATTCTGTGCAAAATTAATCTTTGATTCCTAATTGTGTGATGTGTTTTCTCCAGTCTCTGACTTCAGTCTTTGGAGCCTCTTCAGAAGTTTGTGTGGCTTGTAAATATTTCCGAAGGCACTATATCAGACAAGCTTTAATTGATATATGGGTTAAAATCTGGCAATCAAATTATACCCAGGTTCCCAGTTGGATCTCATCGTTAAACATGCATGTATATCCAAAGTTTATCCAACTGGGAAAGATTATAACATACAAAAATATCCTAGACGAGAGAGGGTAATTGAAACCCAGGAAAATTCTTCAAGATGAAGGGATAGAATTACAATGGTGGCATACCTTCAATTACAGGCAAGATATTGGAAAGATAAAAAAGAGTTAGGTATAAAATTAGAACCAATTGGGCTGGACAAAATATTATTAGGCACGGAGGATAAAATGATTAAAAAACTATATCATTATTTGTTAGATCAGGCAATGTATGAGGAACAGATAAAAGAGGCCATGTTAGCGTGGAGCAGGGATTTTGATCTCAATTTTGATCTGCACATCTGGCAAGAATTATGGGTAAGAAACAGGAAGCTTACTCTGGCCACCTCTTACAAGGAAAATTTCTACAAAATGTTCTACAGGTGGCATCTCCCACCCATAAGATTAGCCAAAATGGGTCCAAATGTTTCTTCCAAATGTTGGAAATGTAAATTGGCAAAAGGGACATACTATCATATGTGGTGGGAGTGCCCACAAGCCCGTGACTTTTGGAATAAGATTAAAAAATGGCTGGAAGAAGTATTAAAGTTAGTGGTAGAGTTAAAACCAGAACTCTTTTTACTAGGCATAACCACGCAGAAATGCAACAAAGGAGTGTTTTATTTGATGTTACACATTCTCACGGCTGCTAGATTGGTGTATGCTCAAAACTGGAGGAATAAAGGAATCCCAACAGAAAAAGAGATTATATAAAAAATTTTATGATGTGCTGAAATGGATAGGCTCACAATGGAGATGAAGGATAAGACAGAATCAGACTATTTCAAAATCTGGGAAAAATTTTATTACTGGTGTGAATCAAGGAGAACTGCTTGGGTTTTAAATTAGCATTAAGATAGAATTATATATAACTGTATATATAACTGTATTGTATAGAAGAATATGTTTATATAGAGATCAAGAATTATGTATTAATTATATGTATTAAGAGGAACAAATTGTTAGGAATATTTATTCTGGAATGTCACATTATATCCATCTTTGTTTTTAGCTGTATTATAAATAAAAAACTTTTTTTTTAAAAAAAGAAGTTTGTGTGGCTTGGATGTTCTCTGACCTCACAAAATGAGCAAAACAAGTAACTAAGAATGGAGTTTCACTGGAGGTCTGTTTTTCCCGTTACTCTTCAATGGAGAACAACAAAGCATCTGAGATGGGTTTGCTTTTTACAAAGCAATGACAAGCAGATTCAGTGTGCATGAAGCTCTCCTTATTTTTTGCTCATGTCAACCTGCTCCCATTTCTGGTGTCTTTATACATAAATGCTTAGATTGCAGAGATTGCCACTATCAAAAAATAAAGTTCAGATTCTGAAACAATTCTTCAGTAGCTGCAAAATTAGCGTCCATTAAGAGAGGAGTAAAGTTCTTACGATTTCAATCCCTGCTCTGCAGTATTAGTACTTTCCTCTATTTTCACCTCCTACCCTCTGAAATCCTCTCATTTTCTAGGTTTCAGAGAAAAAGTTTCTTTTGTAATGATCAGATCAGTATTTTGTCTATGTAAGGACCCACCCACTTTGCATCTTAAGAAGACAGAACTCTTGAAATATTTCTTTCAACAGGCATCCTTTATTAAGAGAAAATGGTTGCAGGCGTTCTAGACAGGACTTTGGGGCCAAGCCCTATGGTTCAAGGTTTTAAGGGGTTCCCAGCAACCCCACCCCACCCCACCATCCTTCCAGTGACAATCCCAGGCATTACATTTCCATCCCCTTTTCCTCACTGCCTGCAGAAGGGAGACTTCAGAGGGGAGTAGATGAAAGCTGATGGCTCCATTGTTATGCGTAGTCCTTTTGGTGGTATCCACATTCAGTCCCTTTTGAAGTTGTACCGAAGGAAGTGAGGGCCATAAAACCCCTTTGTTCACCCCCCTTTCCCTTCATCGTATGACAGAATCCAGAGAGGGCAGAAATGGGGTTTTCCATAGTCGATAGTAGAGATGAAATATAATTGGATTCCGACAGTCTACCTAGATGTTTTCAAATACATCCCATCAACATTTCTGTATAGTATACTGTATATAAAATATTTTTTATGTCCAACCAGCTTTCATGTTGAAGCCACTTTTACTTAACAAGCCTATCCATGTGCTTCCAACTGTTTCTTCAATGAAAAATTTATTATTACCATATGTCTTATAAGTGTGGATATCTGATGAAAAACTAAGTTGGAGTAGAGACAGGCTCTTCTTGACCCAGTGGCATTTTTTAATCTGAGCAGGAGTCAAACATGTTTTATATGAGTTGATTTTATTTCATATTAAACCATTTTAACCTTGATCTTAAAATAGCGGACACTTTCTACAGTGTCACTGCTGAGGAATTTTTCTAACACATCTAATCCATTATCTATCCATCTATCATTTACATAGAGTATAATCAAATGTTCAATGCAATATATTCCTGGATGTCAGTTCAACAGTTAATGCAATATGTCTCCCTATGTAGGAACACAAAACTGTACTCATACATACAGTAGATGTGGTGTGGGAGTGAGGAGGGGAGAAAGAGTCAACCTCAGCAAGTTGGTCAATGGAACACCGTGATATGTGACATCTAACCACTATATTATCTTGCCATTGTTGAACACTGACTTCTCTTGCAAATGCTATGAACTGGAGTTCTTGACATAGTTGGTCTAGGCACATGTTTATTACAGATAGAAGATAGTTCTAATAATAATGATAGATTGATTCCTAGAGACTAAGAACCAGCCAGCCTGCCTGTATGCCTACCTGTATGTATGCATCTATCTATCTATCTATCTATCTATCTATCTATCTATCTATCTATCTATCTATCTATCTATCTATCTATCATCCATCCCTCCATCATCTCTCTCTCTCTCTCTCTCTCTCTCTCTCTCTCTCTCTCTCTCATCTATTCAGTTTTAAATCCTGAGTTTCTTTTTTCTGTCTTTTCACCATAACAGTTCTTCTTTCTGTCAGGGATCATGATACCTTCATTTATTTACAAAGCAGTCTTATCTTTCCCCAGGTATCCACTTGCCACTCTGCCAGCTATAAATTCATGCACCTAACTTGTATGGCTTATCTCTAAACTGCCTTCTCCACATGCAATAGTTTATTAATTACCAACTTCAATAAGGCTACTTTTAGTGATTTTTTAAAAAAATATAGGAATCATGTTAATGTTCCCCCAACTGATGAGTGTCTAGAAAATATTACCACGAGACCTTGAAAGGAGTATAAATAACATTTTTAACAGCATCAAATTAAAGTTAGGCATCTCCAGAGTTTGTTGCAACCTTATTTTTCATGTCTGTTGTAGGGTTTTGTACATGCACTGCACAGCACAGCACTAATTTCTTCACCTCAACATGATTCCTCCATTCCCCTGGATTTTAAAGTTATGAAAAAGCACGCATGTGGTCATAACGGTTTCCAACGGACCAGCATGTTATTAGCTAACCAAAAGGATGTTGAGAAAATTCCAGTGAACCCCAATCACCAACAGGTTGTTTTTTAGACATCAGTTGCTCTGGTTTAATGAGGAAAGTAGAATCATGCATACAAAGAGAATCACAAAACCAACCAACCAGTCCCACAACACAGTCACAAGAGGTTTATTACAGAAACACATTTTCTGGGTAATGGAGATGAGGAAACATTCATACCATCCAGGAAGTAATTTAAACAGAGAGGTTTAGGTTTAGATATGATTAACTAGGTTACAGAGGGTGTTAGGTAGCTTTAGGTAGGTTTACACTAACAAGACAAATTTGGGAAAGCTAGATTTAATTCTATAGTGCACATTAGGGCAACATCCTAATGTCTTTCATATCTGTGTTGAGAAGGAATTTCAGGCTAAACGCACAACAAATGTTTCTATTGTGCTCCAATTTCTTACTCCTGTTCCCACTATCTCTTTCGTCCCTAGGTTTCCTCAGAAGGTTAGAACATTAAGATGTAACATCGTTTTATATGCATTCTGCAGAAATGCACATGGTGGTAGTGCCTAATCTGGGTCCTGGTGATTTTTTTCACCCCTCTGATCCAAACTGATGCCAGGTCTGCCTCTGTCCTGCCATAGTTGATAGTAATGGAATAAATATAATCTGGAGAAGGACACCTAGCTTTGCCCTTTTGTCAGAGTAGATATAAAAGATGCATTTTCTCCATCATCTATCATGGACTGAAGAAAAGGTTATATTTTCTATAGATAAACAACTCTTTTATTATTGGAACTAGCAACCAAATGACTGTTTGGAAAACTGAATTAATTTTTTTCCCTTAGATTCTTCATTTCTCGATCATTTTCCTATCCAGAAATCTAGTATAAATGTTAGTGATATATATCTCTATAACATGATATGAATGTATTCAAAGTTAGAGTTTTCCATAGGGGTAGGGGGCAAACAGTGAAAGCACCATTGGCTTGTCCTGTTGGAAACTCCATCCTTTTGTGTTCTCTATCTTTCTCTTTCTCCTCTTTATATAAAATAAATCATTACCAATCACATTGGAAATCCAGATGTGCATGTATTTATTGTAAGCCACTTGTACTTCTAAATAAAGATCAAGGTCAAGAAAGCAAAACCCTTTTTGAAGAGCACTCCAAAATGTCCAGATGTGTGTGTCTGTGTTTGTGTCTGTGTGTCTGTGTCTGGGTGAGTGAGTGAGAGAGAGAGAGAGAGAGAGAGAGAGAGAGAGAGAGAGAGAGAGAGAAAGAGAGAGAGAGAGAGAGAGCATTCTAAGAAAAAAAGATATTGTTCTATAACAGTGGTTCTCAACCTGTGGGTTGGGACCCCATTTGGGGTCGAACGACCATTTCACGGGGGTCGCCAAACAACGTAGTCCGCCATTTTTCCCCCCTTTTCCTTAGCTGTGCTACTCCCTTTTATTCTATTGGCTTTTGAAAGCCAATAGAATAGACTCTCTTGAATAGAGTCTAATTCTATTGGCTTTCAAAAGCCAATAGGAATTGTCCAGGCTGTCTCTGCCCTGCTGAGCCCGCCAAAAGTCCCATTCTGCAAACGGTGCTGCACCAGTTGAGTAGTCCTCAACTTACAACCGGTTGAGAAGTCCTCGACTTACGACCGGTTGGGGGTCGCGGCATTAAAAAGGTTGAGAACCACTGTTCTATAATGTTCCTTTTTTGCATTGTTCGGTTGTGTCCAATTCTTGCGGGGCAAATCCATGCAGTTTTCTTGGCAAGTTTTTTAGAAGTGCTTTCCCATTGCCTCCTTCCTAGGGTCACCACCTGCAGGATGAAAGGATCATCCACCAATCCTCCTTGTGATTACAGGGAAAACACTTTGCCCAGATATATCATTGCTTGTGAGAACGGATTCCCTGTGCATTACGAGGAAGGACAGATTTAACAGTATTTGAAGATGATATGAATTGATTGGATTGAGTCTCCCTCAAGATGGCTGCTCTTCCATGGAAAAGATCTCATTTTCTGCTGATCCTGAGGCTCATTTCTAGCACTCTTTTTCATGATCTGTGCTCAATTTCTACCACTGTAACCTACCTAGATATTTGCCCTGCTTTCCTCTTTTTCTCTCTTTATCCCAGCCAGCATAAAACCAAAACTCCGAATATCCTAAATTTTATGTAAGCCAGCCATAATTCCTCTACCACATGCTTTAAATTGAATGATTAAAAAATAAACAAAAAGTTGCATTACATCTCTGTAGTTTGTGTGGCTTCATTTTCATTTTAAATATTTTTGCTTTTTTCAAAGACGAGATGACCAGATTTATCCTGCATTAAGCTGAGGGAAATCTTGCTCTTCTTAAATTGTTCTTGATTCATTCTCTCTGAACACATCAGGGTCCCATTTGTGATGGCCACCAAGTCTTATTCTTTTTCTTTTAAATATGAATAGCTCTTCTGAAATAACACAGCAGCGTGATGTAGCTCTAGATACTTTAGTTGGAAGGCATGCAAAGCCAACTGTCAGAAGGAGAAAGTGTAGTACAATTAACATGTTTTAACTGTATTCACACAAGCCTTGGTGAACCAGTGTCAGGGAATCCTAGATCTAGTGGCTATCTTAGAAGGACATTCAGCTCTCACAATGGCTGATATTATTGAAAACTGAGCTGAAAGAGATCTATCCATCTCCACTCCTTTCTTTCCCTGTATCATGTCTGTGGTATAGTTGCAGGCGAAGGAGCTGGAATTCTGGGAATTGTAGTCTACACATCTTAAAGTTGTCAAGGATGAGAAACACAGACTTAAACCATCTCAATTAGGGCAGAGATGTCTGTCTTTACCTCATGTTTTAACCCAATGAATTATTGTGATTCATCAGATTACAGTAATAAAATGGCCAGATTATAAATAATTTCATGTAATAATGGGAAAATGCAAAAAAATATAGAAACGTTAAAAAGCAACCAGATAGACTGTGCTAGGTACCCACAGTATATTGATGAAAGTTAGCCCAGAGAAGAAATATTAAAAAGGGCAGAAAAATATATTTTTCCTCAAAAGGACTTTTTAAAACCAAACCTGGCCCTAAATCTATCTCTCTGCCCCAAGCAAGAGCTAGGCCCATACAAATGCAAATGTAAAACCATCAGAAAGTTGGAGCTAGAGCAATCAAGAAGACAAAAGAGATCTGCATACCCCACCCAAACTCTAGGAGTCAGCCCCATCACCTGGGAAGCAGGATATGATAATAGAATTAAACCACAGATATCAAGGCCTAGACAAACACTCAGAAACAGCCTCAAGGTTCATGCCACAGGAACAGGAACTTCCAAACAAGGCTAGAGGGGGTATAAAAGCCTACTGCCCCATGTGCTCAGCTCCCCTTCTCTCTCCTCAGCACTTTCCTGAAGAACCATCTTTCTGCAATAAACTGTAACCTTCTTCCCAAAGCAGTCACCATGTTTGCTTATTTATTCCCGGCTTGGATGAACCAGGATGAAGACTTTACTTCTAACAATTTGGCACCCCAGATGGGACTCCAAGCTAACCTCTCCAATGGACTGAGACTGGTAAGCCCCATCTTGCCGGCAGCAGACCCCCTTGTGTCTGTGGATGGGTTTCCCAGGCCTTGCCCATGTGGAGCTAGGGTAGTAAAGGGAGTTTTGAGAGTTTGAGCTCAAGGGCTGCTTTGGAAAGAAGGTGAAGGTGAGTACCTCTAAATTTTAAGTTTAAAGCCCAGGGGAACAAAGAAAATGTGTGTATTTCTGTTTGTGTGAGTGAGAAGACTTTTTTTTCCCAATCACAATTGGATTTTGCTCCTTCTGGTCTTTCCTAGCTGCAGAAAGGATCTGTTTAATTGGCAGAACCTGGACAGCATGGGGGTTGGCCAGAGCACAGAACCTTTTGTTAGGGAAAAGGGAGAGACTGTGAAAATGAAATGGAATGAGTGAATGAAAGAATTGGATTTGGGCAACTAGCTGGTAAGGCCCTGTAAGCAAAGCAAAGTTCGGAAAGAAGTCTCACAAGGAGACTTCGACTGTTAGGAAAAAAGTCTCATAAGAAGACTTCGACTGTTAGGAAAAAAGTCTCACAAGAAGACTTCGACTGTATTAGGAAAGAAGTCTCACAAGGAGACTTCGACTGTGTTTGGAAAGAAGTCTCACAAGGAGACTTCGACTGTTAGGAAAGAAGTCTCACAAGGAGACTTCGACTGTTAGGAAAGAAGTCTCACAAGGAGACTTCGACTGTTAGGAAACAAGTCTCACAAGGAGACTTCGACTATGTTAGGAAAGAAGTCTCACAAGGAGACTTCAACTGTTTGGAAAGAAGTCTCACAAGGAGACTTCGACTGTTAGGAAAGAAGTCTCACAAGGAGACTTCGACTGTGTTAGGAAAGAAGTCTCACAAGGAGACTTCGACTGTATTAGGAAAGAAGTCTCACAAGGAGACTTCGACTGTGTAGTGTATGAAAGAAAAATACACTTTGCTTAGGGCTTTGCTGGGAAACTAATTTGGCTAAATAAAGGTACTTAAAAGGGAAAATAAGAAATAGTGATTCTCTCTCTCTCTCTCTCTTCTCTATGCAACCACATGGTATGTTTAAAATGTGTGCCTTCACTAACTTGAGTTATCTGAAATTTATGGTGGGAATGACTAGGATGTGTAAAACTAAGACTTCTGTTCTCTTGTCTTTGTGTATATATGTTTGTCAAAGTCTGTGCGTGAGAGGTAAATGTGACTGTTAACTGTTTCAAATCCAAAGGAAAAAGAATTTTAAAGTCTGTTAGAAATTCTGCTTAAAATAAGCCACAAAAAGGAAAAACCTCACTCTGTTTGTCTGGCCAACAAACAGAGTGAAGAAAAAAAATTGTGTTTGTTTGTTTGTTTGTTTTCCTCTTTCTCTCTGTGTACGCTCAAGAACAGCCTTAAGTTACCATGAGGGATTGTTTTAAGTTTATCTGTTGGAAAAGTTTCACTTGCATTTACTGTATGTGTTTTATCTATCCTTTTCCTGAAAAATGTGTGTCTATCTACAAGAGCCTTTTGAAACTCAAGTCTGCTTGTGTGGGGAAATAATTTTTTAAAGTTACTTTTCTTATCCTATCACTTACTGGTGAAACTACTATGAAGCTTTCTGAAACATAAGCATTTCTCAATCTCTAAAATGATGTGGTCTATTTTAGAATAAATGTTCTCCTACCTCTGGAAAGTTGCACACCTTAAAATATTAGGCTTTTAAAATTATTTGGAGTTTTCAGCATTTTCAAACTGCCTGCAAGCTACCCCCCTTCCAATTCTTTTCCTGCCCTTTGTTCTCCATACCTTTTGTCTGCTTCTCCTGGTAGAATCTACCCAGAAAGCGGGGGGAGACCTTGTTCTTGTATCTTTCAGCCCTGAAACCCTCTCCCAAGCCTTTGGAAGCAGAACACACAGACCCAGATGCTGCCTCCATCCATTTGAGCCATGGAATTGAGTTTTGAATCCAGCCATCCACTAAAAAGCCACCATGCAATCTGAGTGGAAAATCTTCCCAAGTCCTACCATTTACCCAGATGCCTGTGAGAGCTGCAGAAGGAAGGTGGTGCCATGTGAAGCCTCAGAAGAGAAAATTAGACTGTGGGGGGAGGTTGGAAACTCATTGTAAACTTTTCTTTCTTGCCCCATTTGTATTGTAACAAGCCAGTTGAATCTATTAATGGAGAGATGGCACTTGGGAATAGGTGGCAGAACAAGTACTGAACACCTTGGACTTCTATCTGGTGGGAGGGAAAATTGATCCAGAATGTTTGTATTGACTATTTTGTAAAAGTAGCTGCACATACATGCACACACACACACCATTCAGAATTACACTTGAGTCTATCCCCTCCACCTACCTTTAGTAAAGTTCCCCCCAGGCTGATTTTTGCTCTATTGCACCAAAGCTTTGTGGGACCAGCTTCCAACAGATAACAAGGGGGAGGGAACTAGGCCCCCTAAGGTGATTTGCAATTCATATGCCCTGACTAAGGAAGCAACAGGAAACATCCCAAACTTCAGTCCTGAATATCTTGCACTGGTGAGCCCAGATTGGGATTCCTAGAGCTCAGTATGTGCAATTTAAAGAAAAATTTAATAGCCTGGCATATTGGACATTACAAACCTGGATGCACTGAACTAAGAGCTAAGGCAGGAAACAACCCCTGAAAACGGGCAACCATGTACTAAGGAAAACCATGGCTGTGAAGAATTTTGGGAGGTATGCAAACCTGACTGGAAGCTAAAGGTGATATCCAACATTTGAAAATGATTGGCACAGAATATTGGATACTATAAATTTCTTTTCCACCTAACAAAATTTTGCCCTGACTTTTAGAACTTTATGGGTGCAAGCTCCCCTTTTGGGAGCCACTAAAGGGATCTTTTTCTGCTGCCTCCATTAATGTCTTATTTTATTTTTTTTGCTTAACAGTTTAAAAGCTTGCCTACCAAGTCTCCCTGACCAGATCAATTTTAATGTTGTGCCAATAAGTGTGTCATAAATTCACACTTAAGGCACAAAGCGGGGATTGATGAAAGTTAGCCCAGAGAAGAAATATTAAAAAGGGCAGAAAAATATATTTTTCCTCAAAAGGACTTTTTAAAACCAAACCTGGCCCCAAATCTATCTCTCTGCCCCAAGCAAGACTTTAGCCCTAAACAAATGCAGATGTAAAACCATCAGAAAATTGAAGCCAGAGCAATCAAGAAGACAAAAGAGAAGATCTGCATGCCCCACCCAAACTCTAGGAGTCAGCCCCATCACCTGGGAAGCAGGATATGATAATAGAATTAAACCACAGATATCAAGGCCTAGACAAACACTCAGAAACAGCCACAGGAACAGGGAACTATTCCAAAGAAAAGACTAGGGGGGTATAAAACCTACTGCCCATGTGCTCAATCTCGCTCCCCTTCTCTCTCCTCTGCACTTTCCTGAAGAACCATCTTTCTGCAATAAACTTTAACCTTCTTCCCAAAGCAGTCACCATGTTTGCTTATTTCTTCCCGGCTTGGATGAACCAGGATGAAGACTTTACTTCTGACAATATCAAAACCTTTCTTCAACAGATCTATGTTTAATATTTTCCTGAAATAATGAAGTAGAGGCTTATCATATTTTCAAGGGACAGAAACTTTCTTAATATTGGCACCACCATATAAAAAGAACTTTTGTTGTTTTACATCAGTCAGAAAAGAGGGACAATTAAGAGACGTTTGGAGAACTCTGTCTTAAGAGGGTTGAAATAGTCCTGGAGATTTTATTTTTTTTAAAAAAAAAGGAAACAACAACAACAACCAAAGGTATTGAATTCTTATGGGAGGTTCTCCAATTCTTGTCCTCTGAAGGATGCATTTGCATCTTTTACTCAAAAATTTTATTATTTTAGGACTGTCAGCCTTGAATAACAAAATAAATATTTGCAAATGTTGCCTCAGTAACCAGTATCCTAAATTGATCAAGGAAGATTGGGTTTAGTTTGTGGTTTTTGTTTTTTAAAAATATTCTTGCTGCATTGTATTGTTTTAGGAATCAGCCACACCTGGAGAGAAAACTAAAGTTTGACAAAACCTATCAGCTGTGGGATCCTGCTAAATTTACCCAGAACTGAAAAAAAGCTCAAAAACAATCAGTTCCAATGATAGCTGGTTTGAACAGAACAAGTTCAGGGTGTTGTAATGTCTATCTGAATTTAACAGGAAGGATTTGCAAACTCAGAGAAGTCACAACATTCACCTTTGCTGGAAGGGATCCCATTTGGTGTCAGAAAAACACACAGCAAAACACATAAATTAGACCAGTCAAAACTGAATTATGAGACAAGAAATGAACATTTTCCTGACTAAATAAAAGTTTTCAAAGTAAATAAAGAATAAAAAGCAAGAAAGTAAACTGACATTCATACCTGCTTTCATCCAGTGATTCACCTATTTATTTAATTTTTTTACCCTGCCCTTCTCTTTTTGACAATTCAAGCTGTTGAGGATACCTAATACCTCTTCTTCCTCCCATTTTTCCCCACAATAACCCTGTGAGGTAAATTGGACTGGGAAAAAGAGACAGGCCCAAATTCATCCAGTTGGTTTTTGATTCCTAAAACGGGGCTAGAATTCAGTCTCCTGGTTTCCAGTCAGGTACCTTAACCACTACACCAATCTAGCTTTCAACTGAGGGTAAGGATTACAGAATTATTTTCTGCTTTCTGAGTCTGTGCCTAATTTACCTCCTTTCATACATTTGTTAATTGAGAGGTTTTCCACTGCTCAGATTCTTTTTCTTTACTTTAACCTGTCAACTATTCTTTGAATACATCATAAGTTGCAAAACGTGTAGACCCTCTTTGGGTGCATTGAACCCATCCATTTGTGCATCTGACTCTTTACCTTAATGATAGAGCAGTGGACATGGAACATTATGTCATACATGGATTGAAGTGAAGATCAATGGCCAAATAAATTTTGTTCAAATGTAGATTGGGTGTCAAATCAGGAGCATCTGTGGTGGTGGGGATGGGTGGGAATCAAAATTTAAAAGAGGGCAGGTCTCTGCCACAACTGAAGAATGTGCAAAAAGGGTGAGTTGATTGTGACACCATACCATGTAGATTTTGAGTACCCCTGCACATAACTTATATTAAAAGTCATAGATACAAAAATGGAACCTATTCCAAATTTGCAGCTCAGAATTGGACTGAGTAAATTTACTTGAGTCCTAGACTACCTTAACAGAGGGATAAAATCAATGCTCCTAATTATGAAATTCCTCTAGAGCAGGGGTGTCAAACTGCCAGCCCACAGGCCGAACACATCACAAGGAAACCGTGCCCACCCCATTGCCAGCAATGGGGAAAAGGTTCTGATACGTCACGTGACATCATGTGATGTCATGAGTTTGACATGTCTCCTTTAGAGAGACAGTAAGACCAGTGTCTGAAGAAATTGCTTTAGTACCATGATACAAAGGTGGGAGCAAACTATAATAGTTCTACAAGGAAGAAAACCAGAAGAACTTCATCCATAATACCTAGGAGCTAACAATCAATGTGTGCAATGCTCGAATCACACTGTACACTGTGATTTTCCAATGCAGTGGGTATCCGTTTTGGGTCACCATCTATACTTTGAAAGACAACTTACTCCAGTGGCCTTGTAACTAAAGACAAACTGTTTTATTCCCATCAGAGCTTGTGAGGGAAGAAGCTCACTATGATGGAGATACAATGGTGACACAATGTCAAACCTTCAGACCTGGCTGAAATTTCACTCTCACTTCTCCATGAAAACTATAGGTAAGGAACAGAACTCATTTTGTGTTATATTTTTTTCTATTTATTTATTTATTTGGGATTTTTTGTTTGTTTTGCTTTCTCATGGCACAGTGAATCCTTAGCATTCATTGCATCTATGGAACAGGGTCAAAAAACTCAAGACATTTTGTAAGAATGAAAAACTGCATGACATATAACCATTGATGGAATTTTAGCCACATGTTTTTAGCCATGAACTTGAGTTTTTAACCCCCTCTCTCCCACACAGATGCCCGTGTTTGCATTTGTTTCAAAAACTGAAAGAAACCATCCACCATATTTTGGGCTGCTTCACCTTTCATGCTAAATAAGACCAACAATGCCACATCTCGTAATCATGATAAAATAGAGACAGCAAAACCAGAACTCTACACTCACCTCATTTCATTTAAAGGAGAAAGGTGGGAAGAATTTTGTTGCACTATCTGAAGATTTCTGTAGGATCACAATCTTCATCCCTATCCCAAAGGTGCTTTTTCAAGAGATAATTAGATGTTCTTTACTTCTTTCCTTGAAGAAGTTTCACTTCTCATCTGAGAAACATCTTCAGATCTGACTGAATGATAGAGAATGGAAGGATTTATATTCCTTGCAGTCATCTGATCATTAGTAATCCCCCTGAGAGTCATTGAGGCCACTTGGAGGTTATCTGTGTCCTAAGGGCCACCTGAATAGTGCAAATGAATGTCGAATCTTCTTCGAACAGCTGAAAGGAATGTGTTGTGGGAGATAGGTGATGTTGTATCCCTCCCCCTCTGTTGAGAGAGGGGTGCTCAATTTTAACACAGACAGCTTATTTGACCCCTCTTTCAAATCAGTGATCCTTTCTGCCCAGAAAATGGACTCAGATAAGAAGCGAAATGTCTTCAAGAAAAAAAAAAAAAAAACTCAGTTGTCTCTTGAAAAGGTATCTTTGGGACAGCCTTTGGGACCTAGATGACTGAGAATATATATAGACATTCTTTATTAATGGTTTACCCAAGAATGATTCTCAGAAACATTATATGATTGCCAACATGCTGGTTGTGGAATTTTGAGAATTGAATTCTACATATTTTAATGTTGTCAGCTACAACATTAGTCTGGTGTATGACACACTGCAGAAAGATCATCTAATGGTAAAGGTTTTTCATATGTTCTGTGCTTGGCCCTCCGAGACAGTTCCTATAGTTTTCTATTTTTTACAAAATTCCCCTTGACAATTTGCCTCTTTAAAAAAACTTATGAATAGCTATATCTGTTTTAACTCAAGAACAATGCTGGAAATTGCTAATACTTCAGATGTGTACAAGTGATCAGAAGGTCCTGTTTCCTGAAGGACTTCCACATTGCCCTTCCTCAGAGCCACTCTGCTCCTTAAGAAGTTTCAGCACTGATATCTCTTTCAGTTGTTGTTTTGCCATTGATGATAAGCCAACAGCATTGCTCAGATCCAACTGTGAAATATGTTCATGCAGAAACACGCTCTCTTCCAAAATGTCCTTGCACATGTGAACTTTTTTTTCCTGTTTTGAAATTAACGTCTGTCCATGCTCACTTCCTCTTTTTTGGGAGGTGGGCTCACTTGCAGGCCTTTCCTGCTCCACCTCTCCCTTGTGGGTGGACCATTTATATAATGGGACCACTGAAGAAGAAGGACAGAGGAAGACGACGAAAGGTTGAGAACCCATCTCTTCTTCAAGATCATATTCAGGTGAGTTTAAGATCAGAGAAGGCTAAGATGACAAGATGATTTTCTTATGAGAGATTTTGTTCATCACTGAACTGGGTTAGGCTTGTCAGTACTTAGCTGGGCTGCATTTTAAGCTACTTTCTTTGTAGGGCTTGTACAACATTGAAGGGCTGCCCCACCTTCCTCACGATTTGGACCTCACCTCCTTCCAAGCTCATGACTGAGATAGACTACAATTATTCTTGAAGTACTAACATTAAAGGAGTATTTTCCCTTTAATGCTCAGTCTATCCAAGGATAGCCATAGGGGATATAAAGATTTTTTGGGGGAGAGAACTCAGAGGAATGCAGTGATTATAGACAACAAAGAGGCAGTAAAGGTTGGGTAAAGGTTCCCATGGAATAGAGCCAATATTTTTCTGCCTTGTGTGGTAGTCCAGACAACAGGCACACCCAGGAGTAGTAGCTCAATCGATATTGTAAGTTTGTCTTAATGGTACCTTGCAATTCTGAAAGTACATCTCCCACCTCCGTTACCTTTATAGTCCAGGGAACTTTCTAAGATGCTTGCCTTGAACTCATTCCTTCTGCTTGGCAGATGCCTCTTATCTGACCACTGCCTAGCCTGTGGTTGTTCCTTCTGTCTCCCAAGATACCTTTACAATATTGCATTGATAGAACTTCCAGTTCAAGGATGTTTGAAGAGCCCTTTAATTCAGCACTAAGGAAAGTCAGCTTGGTAACTAATGTAGTTGTTGTCTGAATATAAGAGTCTGGAAAACTTTCCATAGTTTGCTTCCACTGGATGGGATGTAGCATCCTTAGAAATTCCCTGGAGGAGCTTCTGAGGGAAATCCCCCATATTTGACAATATGGAAGGTCAAATATTTTCCATCGTAGCCAAAACAGAAAGGTCGGTTTCAGTGCTGGATATTTCAAATGGAGATATTCATGTATCTTCTCCCTTTCTTTTTTGGCAGAGCTGATCATGCTGTTCAAGGGATTTGGCCTTGGGCTCTTCATAGTCGTGGCTGCTGTCACGATCCTGAGCACCTTTGGTCAGACCTATGAGGACTTCTTGACTAAGCACTATGATAACCCCAAAAGCAATGTTGGAAATCGTTACTGTAATAAAATGATGCAAAGACGTGGAATGACCAAGCCCAAATGTAAGGAGGTGAACAGCTTCATCCATACCATAAAGAACAACATCATTGCTGTGTGTGGGACTGGTGGAAAAGCTATTGATGACAAATTGCGACGTAGCAAGCAGCAGTTCCAAGTCACCACCTGCAAGATGAAAGGATCATCCACCAGGCCTCCTTGTGATTACAGGGAAAACACTTCACTCAGATATATTGTCATTGCTTGTGAGAACGGATTGCCTGTGCATTACGAGGAAGGTCATATTTAACAGTATTTGAAGATGATATGAATTGATTGGATTGAGTCTCCCTCAAAATCTCATTTTCTGCTGATCCTGAGGCTCATTTCTAGCACTCTTTTTCATGATCTGTGCTCAATTTCTACCATTGTAACCTACCTAGATATTTGCCCTGCTTTCCTTTTTTTCTCTCTTTACCCTTCAGCCAGCACAAAACCAAAACTCTGAATATCCTAAATTTTATGTAAGCCAGCCATAATTTCTCTACCACATGCTTTAAATTGAATGATTAAAAAATAAACAAAAAGTTGCATTACATCTCTGTAGTTTGTGTGGCTTCATTTTCATTTTAAATATTTTTGCTTTTTTCAAAGACGGGATGACCAGATTTATCGTGCATTAAGCTGAGGGAAATCTTGCTCTTCTTAAATTGTTCTTGATTCATTCTCTCTGAACACATCAGGGTCCCATTTGTGATGGCCACCAAGTCTTATTCTTTTTCTTTTAAATATGAATAGCTCTTCTGAAACAACACAGCAGGGTGGTGTAGCTCAAGGTATTTTAGTTGGAAGGTATGTAAAGCCAACCATCAAGAGGAGAAAGTGCACTATAGTTAACATGCTTTAGTTGTATTCACACAAGCTCTGGTCTCAGGGAATCCTAGATCTAGTGGCTATCTTAGAAGGACACTCTGCTCTTACAACAGCTGACATTATTGCAAACTGAACTGAAAGATTTACCCATCTCCACTCCTTTCTTTCCCTCTATCATCTCTGTGGTATAGCTACAACTGAAGGGGCTGGAATTCTGGGAGTTGAAGTCTAAACACCTTAAAGTTGTCAAGGTTGAGAAACACAGCCTTAGACCATCTCAATTAGACCTGAGATGCCTGTCTTTGTCCCATTTTTTTTAACCCAACACAATGAAGAGACTCACCCGGTCACAATAATAAAATGGCCAGACCATTAGTCATTTCATGTATCATGGGATGCTGCAATGGTTGTAAGTTTGAAAAATGATCATAAGTCACTTTTTTCAGTGATGTTGTAACTTTGAACATTAAATAAAAGTTGAGGATTATCTGTTGAAAGAGCATCCAAGCAGACAGTGCTATGTACCAATACTATGTCAAAAACCCTCTTCAATAGATCACTGTTTAATATTTTTCCTGAAATAATGAAGTAGAGGCCAACCTGGTTTCAAGGGACAGAAACCTCTACAACATTGGTACTACCACATTAAAAAGAGCATTTCCAGAGCTTATCAACCATCACCACCCCCCATCATCAAACAGAAAACAGGAATAATTAATAGATTTTGGGGGAACTCTGACTTAAGTGGGTTGAAATAAAAGACAAGGTCCTGGAGACATTTAAGAAAAAGTCAACCTGTGACAGGTTCTCTAGTTCTTGCTGTCTTCAAAAAGATTCATTTTGCTCTTTACTTTATAAAATTCATTTTATTGTGTTAGGACTGTCCGCCCAGAATAATAGTCTAAGAAATATTTACAAATATTATCTTAGTAACAGCATCCATAACTACTGGTAAACTGAAATAGTCAAAGAGGATTGAGGTTAGTTATTTAAAAAAATAGAGAATTCCAGATGTCTATTTTATTGTGACTTAAGTCAATGGTCATCTAGCAGTAAATGAATTTTTCTCTTGCACCTGGTACCCTTTTCACAAATTGTGGTAAAAGTGACTAGACTAGAATAAATTGTGTGATTGGGGAACTGTGGGGCTGATAAAACCTAAACTGACATGCTTTACTTAGCCTTTTCTCCTAATTTTCTCCTGCATTGTATTTTTTTAGGGATCAGCTACACTTGAAAAGAAAACTATAATTGGACAGAACCTATCTGCAGTGTTGATCCTGCTTATTGACCCAGGCTTGGAGAAAAATAAACTTCAAATGCAACCAGTTCTAATTATAGCTGGTTTGAACAGAACATGTTCAGGGTATTCTAACCTATATCTGAATTTTAAAAGAGGGATTGGCAAATTTGGACATGCCACAAAGTTCATGTCTGCTGAAAGAGATCCTATCTGATATGAGGAAAACAAGATGCACATACACAAAGACTCTGCAAACCTATCAAAACTGAATTCCGAGACAGGACAATGAACATTTCCAGAATAAATAAATGTTTCTAATATAAGCAAAGAATTTTTTTTAAATGTATATTTCTGTGTAAGGAATCACAGTTCTGAATCGTAAGTGTTCTTAAAGATGCAAATTGTCAAGGGGAATTTTGTTAAAAGAAAAAAGCCTGGAAATAGGAAGAAAACCAGAAAAACTTCTTCATAACATCCTAGTTATCAGTGTGTGCAGTACAGGAAGTTTATTATACAGTGTGGAGTTCCAGTGCAATGTGTTTCCCTTTCTGTCACCATCTGTAATTTGATTTTCACTCCCATGATCTTATATCTAAAGACAGTTTCATTTCATTATATCATCAGAGTTTGTGAGGGAAGAAGGCCTGCTATTATGATCATTATATCATTATATAATAATATACATATCATGTATACCAGGGGTGTCAAACTGCCAGCCCACAGACCGGCAGAAGCCGCACCCACCTCATTGCTGGCAATGGCAAAACTGTCCCGATATGTTGCGCGATGTCATGTGATGTTGCGGGTTTGACATGTCTGATGTATACAGTATATCATTACTAAGATACTGGCTGAGGAATTCTGAAGTCCACATGTCTTAATATTGCCAGCTTCAAAAAACACTGCTTTAGCCTGTGATAGACTGCAGAAATGTTATCTAATGGTTAAAGGGCTCCGTATGCTCTGTACATGACCCACCCACAAAGTACTTACACTTTTTCTTTTTACAAAATTCCCCTTGAGACTTTGCATTTTTAAAAATACATATGAATCTAGAAGTGTGATTCATTACAAACAAATATACATGTGCAGATTAGTTATATTTCAAGAACCATGCTGGAAATTGCATCTTTATCCTTGCCACCTATTCAGATGTGTTCATTTGCTGAAGGAGTTACTGAAGCTCCTTGAGAGGTTTTGGGTATGCTCTCTTTGAGAATGTCCCTACATAATGAGAGCCACCCCCCCTTTTTGATTTATTATTGTAACTCAATGAGTCTCTTCATTGTGTTGGGTTAAAAGAAATGGAATAAAGACAGAAATTTTTGGTCTAACTAAGATGATGTAAAGGAGTGTTTCTCAACCTTGACAACTTTAAGATGTGTAGACTACAACTCCCAGAATTCCAGCCCCTTCACCTGCAGCTATATCACACAAGTGATGAAAGAGAGAAAGAAAGAAAGAAAGAAAGAAAGAAAGAAAGAAAGAAAGAAAGAAAGAAAGAAAGAAAGAGAGGGTGGAGGGAGGGAGGGAGATGGGGAGACCTCCAGTTCTGTTTGCAATTATGTCAGTCTTTGTGGTAATTGAATGTCCTTCTAAGATAGCCACTAGATCTAGGATTGCCCAACACTGGTTCACCAGGTATTGTGTGAATATAACAAAAGCATGTTGCTTATAGGTATTACATTTTCTCCTTCTGAGGGTTGGTTTTGCATCCATTCTAAGTAAAAATCTAGAGCTACAATCTAGAGCTATGTTGTTTCAGAAGAGCCATTCACATTTAAAAGAAAAAATAAAATTTGGCAGCCATCACAAACAGGACCCTGACATGTTCAGAGAGAATGAATCAAGAACCATTTAATAAGAGCAGAAATTTTGGTCAGGTTAATGCAGGATGAATCAGATCATCGCTTCTTTGAAAAAAAGTAAAAGTATTTAAAATGAAACGAGGCCATACACACAACAGAGATATAATGCAACTTTGTTATTTTTTTCCTTCATTTATAGGAATTATTGCTGGCTTACATAACATTCAGGATAAGCCAGAGTTTTAGTTTGTGCTGGGTGAAGGGTAAAGAGACAAAACAAAATCAAGGCAGATATGTAGGTAGATTACAATGGTAGCAATTGAGCACAGATCGTGAAAAAGAGTACAGGAAATGAGACACAGATTCAGCAGAAAATGAGATCTTTCTCATAGAAGAGCAGCCATCTTGAGGGAGACACTATCTGATCCACTCAGATCAATTTCAGATACTGGTAGATTTTACCTTTCTCATAGGGCACAGGCAATCCATTGGTACAAGCAATGACAATGTATCTAGGCGAAGTATAATAATAATAATAATAATAATAATAATAATAATAATAATAATGATGATGATGATGATGATGATGATGATGATGATGATGATGATGATGATGATAAAGTTGGAAGGGATCTTGGAGGTCATCTAGTCCAACCCCCTGCTCAGGCAGGAAACCCTATACCATTTTGGACAAATGGCTGTCCAGTTTCTTCTTAAAAACTTCCAGTGTTGGCGCATTCACCACTTCTGGAGGCAGGTTGTTCCACTGGTTAACTGTTCTAACTGTCAGGAAGTTTCTCCTTAGTTCTAGGTTGCTTTTCTCTTTGGTTAGTTTCCACCCATTGCTTCTTGTCCTGCCTTCAGGTACTTTGGAAAAGTGTCTTCCCTGTAATCACAAGATCTTTCTGAGAATCCTTTCACCTTACTGGTGGGTTTCAGCCTCTATCTTCCTCTGTTTTTCTGCCCCCAAAAGCCTGTTATATAAATGGTCCCCCAGATAGTGAAAGGGGAGAAGGAAAGAACTGCAAGTAGCCCCCTCCTCCCCCCCAAAAAACCAAGAGGAAGTGAGCATGGACAGAGGTTAATTTCAAACAGAAAAGAAGTTCGCGTGATGCAAGGACTTTCTGGAAGATAGCATGTTTCTGCATGAACATATTTCACAGCTGGGTCTGAGCAATGATGTTGCCTTATCATCACTGCCAAAACCACAACTGAAAGAGACATCAATGTCTGAGGAGGAGCAGAGTACCTCTGAGTAAGTGCAATGTGGAAGTCCTTCAGGAAACAAGTCCTAATGCTCATTTGTACAAATCTGAAGAGTTGGCCAAGAGCAAGATTTGATTTCCTGCATGATTCTTGAAAACATGGTTCTTTGTTAAAAAAAACCAAACATTGTCAGCAATCAAAGTATTTAGTGACAAAGGTGTGGATTCCAATTATGTTTGCTGAAGATTACCTTTAAACAAAAGGCAAGGTAGATAATAAGTAAATACGTCACCTTTAAAGTACTGTATGTCATCTTATTGTCAATAAGGTGCTGAAGAGTCAGTGCACTGAATTCACTCATAGGCACCTTGCTATGGCATCACTGTCCAGACATTTTTGTCTTTGTTATGGACAGTTGTAAAATCTAGGGTATTATGTAGCAATGCTTGTCCAGTTGAATTCTAAAGTCCCAGAGTATTTTAGCATCTTCATTTTCTATTTGTTTATTTTGTAATCCTACCAGTTCTTACTTGCAGCAAAGGATATTTCTTGAAGATCTTCCAATATACCATTGTTGCTACTTTTCATGCCAATGTTTGTAGTCAGTCTACACAATCTTCTTGTAGCAGATTTTTCTCATTATTACTTAATAGACTAACAGGATTGGAAGGGCCCTTAGAGGTCTTCTAGTCCAAACCCCTGCACAAGCAGGAGATGCTATACCATTCCAGGCTGTCAGGTCTCTTCTTAAAAGCCTTGAGTAATGGATCACCCACAACTTCTGAAGGCAACCCATTCAACTGGTTAATTGTTCTCACTGTTAGATAATTTCTCCTTAGTTCTGGGTTGCTTCTCTCCTTGATTAGTTTCCATCCGTTGTCTATGGAGAGTCTCAGTCATCCAGGTCATGGTTGTCCCGAAAATGTTTTTTCAAAAGGCAATTGGATTTTCTTGTTTTTCCTTGAAGACATTTCACTTCTCCTCCAAGAAGCTTCTTCGGTTCTGAAGACACTTCTTGGATGAGAACTGAAATGTCTTCAAGGAAAAACAAAGTCCAGTTGCCTTTTGAAAAAGCACTTTGAGATTTCCATCCATTGTTTCTTGTCTTCCTTTCTGGTGCTTTGGAGAATAAGTTGACCCATCTAGTATCTGTCCCCAACAATCCTCCTAAAATTGGCACATAACCTGTTTTAAATAACAAGTTGCTAGTGTTTTATTTTCTTCCCACCAACTTAATCACTTCCAGATTTTTTTTTATTATTAGGAAAATAAAAGAGTAATTCTGTATTTTTGTTTGACTTTAACATCGCTAGATACATAGGCAGGGTATGTATCTTACTGCCTAATTTATTACTGCAGAGTTAAAATCTCAATATATGAAGGAAGACTGAACCAAAAAAAAAAAAGAGCCAGATGCTCTTGTTAACAAGCAATGCATTTAGAACCAGCTTATTCTTCTGCCCTGTTGCTTGTTCATTAAATTTACCCTTTCGTAGTCCTGCCTTTCCCCAAGAGACTAAATTATGAAATATTTTGGCAGCTTAGGATTTAGGGAAAGTTGTTCTCTTACTTTCTGTTTGCCTCCAACCACACATTCTACAGAGGAGAAAAGCCAGCTCTCAGAGAAAGCTCTGTCTGCTTTTTTTCCTGCAAAGCAACTGAGAAAAATCAAAACAGCCCCAGAATTTCAGGTGAGTTCCTAAAATATCTAAAGATTTTACTTGGGTCATGATGGGTAGAAGGGGAAGTAAAATCAAGAATCAGAAGGGACAGAAAATGTTTTTGAAGGCATCTAGGCCAGACTCCTAGTCAACCTTGACAGACAATCATAAAACCAAAATTGGAAGGAGTATTACTGTAGGATTATTGCATTCAATCCATTCCATAGGATCCCGAATAGGATCTTTTTAGCTTTCACTTCACTTTTTCTAGAGGAGTTTCTCCTTCCCTATTTTGACATCTAAATACACTTCCCAGGTTTGGCTCAAATCTACTTCCCTATAGTTTCTACCTACTGCTTGCAATTGTTGATCTCTTGGTAGGAGATCTGGGAATTTATCTTCTCTTTTCTTTTCTCTGAAACCCTGAGAGCATGTTCAAACTCAGCCTTTCCATTCTTTTGTCTTCCTTTTCATTTGACTCTCAAAGAACCTCCTAAAAGCTGGGAATTTTTAATTTAAGCAAACAGTGGCTGATGTGAATCATTTTAAAAGTTGATAGGTGAACATTTTATTTGATTTGTTCCAAAAGATGCTTGAGATCTACTTTTATCGATTCTTTTTTCCTTTGCTGCTTTGATGACTGTTTTATTGCTCTTGCTTTTTGATATATTCTTGAAGATTGATAAAGAATATTTTATAAAATAAATCTTGTAAAGGCAAGCAATTTTGTGCAGTTTAACTTTAAAGGGTCCACAGAAAGAGATGAAAGATTAATAGAATATCCTTACTTGTGTCCTTATTTTTCAGTCTTTGGCCCTCTTTATCTGTCCATACTTCCAACTCACAGACTTACACGTATACAACACTGTCAGTACATCAGCAAATAGTTAATGAATACACCGTCTTTGTTCTTTTTAATACTCAGTTGACCTTTTTGTCATTGTCCATTTGAGAGAAAATTTAACTCCATTAAACTGACTTTTCATATCCTTCATAGAAGTTCTATTACAACATCCCACCCTGTTTTTTGAATGTCCATCTAGGATGCAGGACATCACAGCAGCACAGCCAATGCCTGGAGAACAGGGCAGTGGTTTGCATGCAGTCACTTAGGAATAGCCAACCGTCAATGTTTATCTAAAATACTTTTCATCAATCTAGGTCTCTTCAGAAGACCTAGATAAGGTACAATCACATATTTCAACAAACAAGCAACCGTCCGGTTCATAATAATAAGTAAGTATCATATTCAACCATTTTTAACAAAGCTTAAACTGTAACACAGTGGTTCTCAACCTGTGGGTCGGGACCCCATTTGGGGTCGAACGACCATTTCACGGGGGTCGCCAAACAACGCAGTCCGCCATTTCCCCCCCCCTTTTCCTTAGCTGTGCTACTCCCTTTCATTCTATTCAAGAGAGTCTATTCTATTGGCTTTCAAAAGCCAGTAGGAATTGTCCAGGCTGTTTCTGCCCTGCTGAGCCTGCCAAAAGTCCCATTCTGCAAATGGTGCTGCACCAGTTGAGTAGTCCTCGACTTATGACCTGCTGAGTAGTCCTCGACGTACGACCGATTGGGGGTCGCGGCATTAAAAAGGTTGAGAACCACTGCTGTAACATATTAAAAATAATTAGTAAACAAATATGTTAATCTATTAAGTAAACACTACTAATAAAATCACACAAAAAGGAAATAAAATAAAATAAAAAATAAATCCTAACAATCAAAAGTAACAAATAAAAATCAGTAAATCAGAAAAAGTAATTGTATCATCAAAATGTTAGTTACCTATCCTTATTTTACCCTAATCCCCTTTTTCCTTCCCCTCCCCCTTTCCTTTTTACCCTTCCGTTTACCATACCTGTATTTTTCCTATTTTTCCTTACTTATATAAATTTAATAAAATTTTGTTAAAAAAAAAGAAGAGCTAGATATGGGTTTGTGCTGAGGGATAGGTTAAGATGCAAGTGTCAGTCTTATATGGCTTCTAAGATCTGTATTTCTCTTCTTTTCTCTTAGAGGTGTATTTGATAGTGTATCTCAGCATTAGTCTGAAAGTACATTTCTCCCTTGACATCTCTGCAGTCCAAGAAAGTAGGGTGGGTCCCTTTTGAGAAACTTGCCTTGCCCACATTCCTTCATAGAAGTTCTCCTATTACAACATCCCAACCCTGCTTTTTTTAATGTCCATCTAGGATGCAGGACATCACAGCAGCACAGCTGCCTCTTACCTGATCCTTACCTAGCCTGTGGTTCTTTCTTCTATCTCCCAAGGCCATTCCCACATACCATTACAATATTACATTGGTAGACATTTTTGCCAATTCAAGGATGTGTGAAGAGCCCTTCTATTCGTCAAGGAGAAAAGTCAGCTCTGAAACTAATGTAGTTTGTCTGAATATGAGAGTCTGGAAAACTTTCAGTTGCTTGTTTCAACTGCAAGGAGTGTAGCCTCCTTAGAAAATCCCTGGGCAAATTCTGAAGCAAATTCCCTCCCTGCTTAATATCTCTTAGGAGTTCTTGCAAGGATTTAAATGTATATTTCGCTAAAGATTATCTTTGAATTATACCCAATGTGTTTGAAATTTATTTCAAATGTCAACTACTTGTCAGATCTATCATTCATATTCTGATGTCCTGTCATTATGCTGGGGGGGGGGGGATGGCATGCTTAGGATTTTTTGTTTCTGCTGTTTGCTCAGGAATTAGGGAAGGGGACTGTCTTCAGAGACGGGATGGACTCCTTCTAAGCCAGTTTTTGCCAGGTTCCAAGGCCACTGAGCCCTGAGTGTGGACTGTTATCTGCCTAGCACCTCAGCGTTCTTGGCTTCACATTGGCTGCCGGTGGACTGGTTAGGGGGTTTGGGATTGGGAAACTGAAAGAATTGCTTTATGTTTTCCATGGGACTTTTAGATTCTTTCTGACTTTACTGCTTCCAGTTTCTGTCAGTAAAAACTCTTTTGATTCAACTCAATGGATTCAAGAGTGTAACTTTCCTGAGGGCCAGGCTGGGGCAGGTCTGACACTACTGCTTGTCAGTCTGAGATGCCTCCTAGATGTCAAATGTTTTCCATATATGCAAAAATAGAAAGGTCCATTTCAGTGCTAGATATTTCAATGACTGTTGTCAGGTGGAGATACTCATGCATCTTCTCCGTTTTTTCTGTGGCAGAGCTGATCATGCTGTTCAAGGGATTTGGCCTTGGGCACTTCATAGTCCTGGCCGTTATCATGATGCTGGGCACCTTTGCTGCTGATTATCCAATCTTCCTGAGGCAGCACTACAATAACCCCAAAAGTAATGTGCGCAAAAGTTACTGTAATGCAATGATGCAAAGCCGGGGGATGACCAGCCCCAGTTGCAAGCCTTTGAATACTTTTATCCATGACACAAAGAACAGAATCACTGCTGTGTGTGGAAGAGAAGGAACACCTTTTGGAAACAGTCTGCGGCGTAGCCTGCAGCAGTTCCGGGTCACTACCTGCAAAATGAGAGGATCCTCTATCCTCCCTCCTTGTGAATACAGGGAAAACACTTCGCCTAGATATATTGTCATCGCTTGTGAGAATGGATTACCTGTGCACTATGAGGAAGGCCAGATTTAACAGTATTTTAAGAGGATCTGAGTGGATCAGATAGTGTCTCTTTCAAGATGGATGCTCTTCCATGGAAAATATCTCATTTTCTTCTGATCCTGTGACTCATTTCCTGAAGGCTTTTTCATGATCTGTGCAACGCAGCTGTCATTGTAACCTTCCTAGATATTTTCTCTGCTTTATTGTCTCTTTACCTTACAGCTAGTACAAAACCATAAATCTGAATATCCTAAAGGTTATGTAAGCCTACAATAACCCCTACACTATATGGTTGTAAATAAATGAATAAAAAAAATCAGAAAGTTGCATCATATCTCTGTTGTTTGTATGGCCTTATTTCTTTTTAAATACTTTTGTTTTTTTCAAAGAAGGGATGACCAGATTCATCCTGCATTAAGCCGACTAAAATTTCTGTTCTTAAATAATTCTTGATTCATTGTTTCTGAACACATCAGGATACTGTTTGTGGTGGCACCAAGTTTTATTCTTTTTCTTTTAAATGTGAATGCCTCTTCTGAAACAAGACAGCAGCCTGATGGATCTCTAGATTCTTTACTTGGAAGGGACACAAAACCAACCAATAGAAGGAAAAAGTGTACAACAATTAATATGCTTTAGCTATATTGACACAAGCCCTGGTGAACCAGTGTCAGGCAATCCTAGATCTGGTAGCTATCTTACAAAGCCATTCAAATATCAAAACCACTGACACCATTGGAAACAGAACTGGGGAAGATTTACCTATCTTAACTCCTTTTTTCAGTGGTGGGATTCAAATAAGGGCCTGGGCAACAAAAAATTAGCTACCAGTTCTACCGAACTGGTGCAAACTGGCTAAATCCCACCACTGCCTTTTTTCCCACCCTCTCAGGTAAGTCATGCAAACAATTTCACTTTGCTGTGGGAACCGTCTGCTTCCTCTCCACACCTGCTGCAGTGTCCTTGGAAAGGTTTCAAGCTTTCATGGTCTTCAGCAGAATCAGGGCTTTATTTCTCACAGAACGCCCAGAACGGAGTTCTGGCACCTTTTTTGGATGGAACCTTATAGAGTAGGCAAAGCGGGTTGTATGACGTGTGTAAGTCCCGGCACCCTTTTTTTTTTTTTTTTTAGAAAAAAAGCACTGAGCGGAATCATAGAGGTTTCATTTCCCCATCTAACCAATTCTAAAGCAATGCCTCCCCCCCTTATTCTAATGGCAAGTTGAAATGAAGAGGTACATAGCTGCCAAAGTTTCATTCTTGACACAGAGTTTTGAACCATTTTCTAGTTTGCTTCTGTTCTGGCTATCCCCACAAATAGGCACAGTGTTTATGCAGAGGCCCACCTGTTTCCTTAACCACACAAAATTAAATTAATCCTGTTGCTTTGGGCAAGCACCAAACTAAGGGCTAACCACCCCAGCTAGGCTTATATAATGTGCTGACTATATATTAGCTCTCTAAGAAGACTGCTAAGCAGTCTATAGCACACAAACATAATGTCTAATAAAATTATAACATCATCTGTTGTTAACATCATCTCTTGACTTGCACTTGTTTGCACTTGTTGACCATTCAAATGTACAGTGGCACTGAAAAAGTGACTTATGATTGTTTTCCATTTACGACCATTGAAGCATCCCCACTGTCACCTGATCAAAATTGAGATGTTTGGCAGCTGATTTATATTTATGATAGTTGCCATGTCCTGGGATCACATAATCAGCTTTTTCTGCTATGCAGACTTATTTTTATTTTCATCCAAAGATACAGCTGAGACAGATTTTTCTCATTGTTAACTGTATACAAGCCCATTCCCAGCAGTCCTCCTAAAATTGGCACTTAACAACTGTTAAGTAACAAGTTGTTCCTGTTTTATTTTTTCCTTACCCACTAAATCACTTCCAGATGTTTTTTCTTCCCCTTGTTAAGAGAGGGAGAAAAAAAGTTAAATTAACACATTTTCTTTAACTCAAACTCTGTCAGCTGCAGGGCAGGCTAGCTTACTACCTAATTTATTTTATACAGAGTTAAAATCCCAAACACATCAAGGAAGATTAAAGAAAGAAAGAAAAAAATCAGCCTTTTTTAGAACCAGCTTTCCCTTTTGATGGTCTCGCCTTTCCAAAAGAGGCCCAATTGCAAAACATTTTGGCAGTTTAAGATTTTTCAGGAACTTGTTTTCTTCCTTCTCCTTGCCTCCACCCAGCTCTACAAAGGAGAAAACGCAGCTCACAGAAAAAAACGTGTCTGCTTTTTTCCTGCAAAACAACTGAGAAAAATCAAAAGGAGGAGTGATCCAGTTTCAGAGTTTCGGGTGAGTTCCTAAAATGTCTAAAGATTTTCTCTGAGGCATGGTGGGTAAAAGGGGGAAGATAAATCAAGAATCAGAAGGCACAGAAAATGTTTTTGAAGGCATCTAGGGTGACCTCCTGGTTAATGATCAGAAAATCAAAGTTGGAAGGGCCAGTTTTGGTCACCACTATGTAAAAAAGATGTTGAGACTCTGGAAAGAGTACAGGAGGGTGAAAAGTGGCTCCCAGTTCTTCTGAAGCAGTTCCAAACCTGATAGAATCACAATTATGATAAAACTGCAGGAAGTGACAGCCCTCAGATGCCAGACAATGGCCACTTCTCTGTTGCATCAGGACACCTGTGGTTATCTGTGGATGAGACTCTAGAAAGAGTATAGAGAAGAGCAACAAAGATGATCAGGAGACTGGAGGCTAAAACATATAAGGAACGGTTGCTGGAATTGGGTATGTCTAGATTAACGAAGAGAAGGAGGAGGGGGGACATGATAGCAGTGTTCCAATATCTCAGGGGCTGCCACAAAGAAGAGGGAGTCAAGCTATTCTCCAAAGCGCCTGAAGGCAGGACAAAAAGCAACAGGTGGAAACTAACCAAAGAGAGAAGCAACCTAGAACTAAGGAGAAACTTCCTGACACTTAGAACAATTAAACAGTGGAACAACCTGCCTCCAGAAGCTGTGAATGCTCCAACACTGGAAGTTTTTAAGAAGAGACTGGACAGCCATTTGTCCGAAATGGTATAGGGTTTCCTGCCTGAGCAGGGGGTTGGACTAGATGACCTCCAAGGTAACTTCCAGCTTTATCATTATTATTATGGGTCATCGCACAGTCAGCGAGATGTTCAGACTGGATTTGGCATTTTGTCTACCTATCGAGTCCTTACCCAGGACCTGGGATAGGCAGATGTGGATGTTTGATGGTATTACAGATATCGTCGCAGGATGGAAGCAGTTCCTAGTAAGGCCGCCTTTTGCAATTGACTAATAGCGAATTTGTCAATGCCAATGGTGTTCAAGTGGTGCTCCAGTTGTTTTGGGATTGCACCAAGGAGCCTATGACTATTGGTACTACCCTTGCTTGCTTTTGCCACAGTCTTTCTATTTCTATTTGTAGGTCTTTGTATTTTGTTATCTTCTCCAGTTCTTTCTCTTCTATTCTGCTATCTCCAGGCACTGCCACGTCCACTATCCAGACTTTTTTGTCTTTCTTATCGACAATTGTTAAGTCTGGGGTGTTATGTTGCAGGTGCTTGTCTGTTTGAATTCTGAAGTCCCAGAGCAGTTTAATTTTATCATTTTCTATGACTTTCTCTATTTTATGATCCCACCAGTTTTTGCTTACAGGCAAATGATATTTTTTGCAGATCTTCCAATGCACCATTGTTGCTACTTTGTCATGCCGCTGCTTGTAATCAGTTTGTGCAATCTTCTTGCAACAGCTTACCAAGTGGTCCACTGTTTCTTCAGCTTCTTTGCATAGGCGGCACTTACTGTCTGTTGCTGTCTTCTCAATTTTGACTTTGTATGCATTTGTCCTTAAGGCTTGGTCTTGTGCAGCCAGAATTAGTCCCTCGGTCTCTTTCTTCAATTTTCCTGCTCTTAGCCATTGCCAGGTTTTATTGTTATCTGCTTTCCCAGCTATTTTTTTCATGTATTGGCCATGTAGTGCTTTGTCTTCCCATGCCTCTATTCTGTTCTTCATTTGGTCTTTCTTGAAGGCCAGTTTGGTCTCTCCAGTAGTTAGTAAGCCTTCCTGATATACTAATTTCAGTGCATCTTCATCATTGTTCTTCAGATATTCTTCCAAAGCCATTTTTTCTTCTTCAACCATCTGATGTACTTGTAGCATTCCACGCCCACCTATTTGCCTTGGTAGATAAAGTCTATCAATGTCACTGCGTGATGAAGGGCATGATTCATTGTCATTATTTTTCTGGTCTGCCTATCCATTGCTTTTAGTTCTGCTTGAGTCCAGTCCACTATTCCAGCTGTGTACCTAATGACTGGGATTGCCCAGGTGTTGATTGCCTTTATGGTATTTCCTCCATTGAGTTTGGACTTTAAGATCTTCTTCACTCTCTTGATGTATTCACCTCTAATCTTTTTCTTGACTTCAGTGTGCTTGATGTTGTCAGCTTGAAGGATACCCAAGTATTTGTAGTACTCTTCCTCATCTAGACTCTTAATGTTATTTTCGTGGGGCATCTTGATTCCTTCAGTTTTCATTATTTTTCCTTGTTTGATAGTAAGTGTGGCACATTTGTCCAAGCCAAACTCCATTACAATATCTTGGCTATATATACGGACAGTGTTGAGCAGCGATTCTATTTCAGATGATGTTTTTCCATACAGCTTCAGATCATCCATGTAAAGGAGGTGGGATAGTCTGGCAGATGTTTTTGATGTTTGATAGCCATGTCCTGAGTTATTCAGTATTGTTGACAGAGGAAACAGTGCAATAACAAATAGTAATGGTGATAATGAATCTCCTTGAAATATTCCTCTCTTGATATTAACCTCTCCCAGCCTCTCACCATTGATCTGCAACTGTGTCTTCCATTGTGCCATCGATCTTTGCACAAATTTTCTGATGTTTCTACTGACTCCTGTTATTTCTAGGCACTTTATTATCCAATCATGTGGCAGAGAGTCAAATGCCTTTTTGTAGTCAATCCATGCCACATTCAGGTTGGTCTTCCTTCTCTTGCAGTTTTCCAAGATCATTTTGTCTATTAGGAGTTGATCTTTTGTTCCTCTGCTATTGGGGCGGTTTCCTTTCTGCTCAGGTGGAAAGAGATTGTTTTCAACTAGATGCTGTTGCACTGCATCAGCTACTACACCAGTTAGTAATTTGAAAGTTGTTGGTAAGCAGGTAATTGGCCTGTAGTTACCTGGTGTTGCCCCTTTTGCTGGATTTTTCATTATTAGGTAGGTTTTCCCAGTTGTTAGCCACTTTTCAATTTCTCCACCTTGTAGTATATTGTTGAACTGTTGGCAATGAGTGGGTGTATAACAGTTAGATGTTTCAACCAAAACCCATGCAGTTCATCTTCACCTGGTGCTGACCAATTTTTGATTTTCTTTGCTCTTTTTTCTACCATTTTTGTTGTTATTACTAGTTCTTTCATTTCAACTTCTGTTTTATTTGCATCCATCTCTTTTAACCAAGCTGCATCCTTGTTGTATTTCTTTGGGTTATCCCATATCTGCTTCCAGAACTGCACTGTTTCTTCCTTGTCAGGTACTGGCTGATTCCTTGCAGTTTCTCCATTGATGGATTGGTAGAAACGTTTCTGATTGGATTGAAATTGGAGGTTCTGCCTATAGTTTGCAATTCGAGCTTCATATCTACTGATTTTCCTGGCTATAGCTGTTATTTGTTGCTTTATTATTTCCAGTGCTTCCTTGATCTTCCTTGTTTCTAAGTGGTATTTCTTGATTAGGTATTCTTTGGTCTTCTTGTTCTTCAGCTTCTTTTCTTTCATCTGTTCTAGCTTGCTTGCATGTGATCTTAACTTGCTGATCTTATTTTCTAGTCTAACCTTCCATTTTTCTGGTGCACTGTTTGTTTGTTTTTCTTCTTTGTTGATTTTGCATCCCAGGTATTCTGTTATAACTGCAGCTGTGCTGTACATTAGTTGGTTTGTTTCTTGCAGTGAATTGGTGCTTATACTTGATATTGCAGTATTTGCATCTTTTACTGCTTGTGCTAGCTGTTTCTTTGGAACAAGCTTCATTGCAGGTAGCCTTATTCTGTTGTTTTTGTGCTGTTCTAGATGCTCAGTTATTCTTTGTTTCAATTCTTTTATTTCTTTAGTTAGAGGGTTTTGTTCTTCCTGAGGTAGAGGTGCCTGGTTTCCAAATGAGAACAGTTGTATATCTCTGCTAGATTCCTTCACTTCCAACTCCCCCTGGTTTGCCTCTACATTCTGAATTACTTCTGGTAAGGCTTTGATTTCTTTGCCCTGGGTAAACCTTTGCAGTTCGTCCAATTCTGTTTCTGTGAATATTTTATTTCGTGTTATAAATCGGCGTTGATCTGCTAGTCTCTGTTCTGTTATTTCTGATTCTGGATGTTGTTCTTTCCAGAACTGGTGCATTCGTTTTAGATATCCTCTTCTTGTTGGACTTGATCTGTAGTAACAGATCATTATTTCTTTGTTTTCCATCACTGTGTATCTGCGACGGGTAAACACCTTTTCTTCCAGTAGTTCTGCAGCTGCTGGCCCTGGTTGCTCAGCCAACAGTCCTGAGTCCTGTAACCCATTTTTCACCAGATATCCAGGAACTCCAATATCTAGTGCGGACCTTGTTAACCCGGGCGACGTCCGAGCCGGTATGGCATTCTGCAATTTACGTCTCACCATATTTTTTATGGGAGAGACACTCTTTGTCTGACTCCTCTGATGAGACCTGTCCAGTATGGTTGAACCTCTGGCATAGCTCTCATCTTCCTCAGAGTACACAAGCCCCACAACCACGTCAAGGTAGTGCCTCACTGGGGGTTATTATTATTATTATTATTATTATTATTATTATTATTATTATTTGCATTATTGCATCCAATCCATTCCACAGGATCTCCAACAGCATCTTTCTAGTGTTGGAAGTCAGCACCTACCCTCCTAGAGAAGGAAATATTTTGGGGGGATATTAAAAAAGACAGAATATTATATTTCCCCAAAGTAATAATAGAAAAATCCTAGAAACCAGGCCCTAGAAACCTGCCCCAAGTAGAAACTCAGGATACTACCTTTTAGAAATGCAGATTCAGTAATCTATTCAGAAAGACTGGGCCATAAGCAAAATGCCTTCAGCCATAACCCCAGAGAAGGTTTGAGCTGATGGGATTAGAAGAATAAAGACTCCAAGGAACATGACCTTTAGGAGGATTAACCCACCACCATTAGAATATCAAAAGGGCACACAGAACCCTAGGCAGTGGTGGGATTTAGCCAGTTCGCACCAGTTTGACAGAACTGGTAGCTAATTTTTTATCGCCCAGGCCCAGAATGAACTTCTGGAAGTGGCATCCACACAGAGAACCAGTTGTTCACATATTTGAATCCCACCACTGACCCCAGGTCAAAGTTCATTGCACAGGAACAGGAAGAGCCTCAAATACAATGCCACAAGAACAGGAACAGGAAGAGCCTCAAATACAATGCCACAAGAACAGGAACAATTCCAAAAGCCCAAGAAGGCATAAAAATTCACCACTCCCAGAAGCACATGCTGTGTCACTGAAGTTTCTGGCAACTCAATAAAGTCTCCATTTTTCTTGTTCCCAGCATGGATTGGACCTGAATATTTTTCTTTCAATACTAGCTTCCACTTCAGTTTCTCTAGAGTAGAAGTTATTTTGTTCCCTATTTTGAAATCTAAATGTATTTCCCAGATTTGGTTCAAATCTACTGTAATTTCTGCATGAAATCTAGAATAATTGGGCTAGGAGATCTGAGAATTTCTTTCTACACTTTGTTTGCTCTGTAACCAGGAGGATGCATTCAAACGCAGTTGTCACATTTTGTTTCTTCCTCCTGTTCATTTGATTCTTCTTCAAATACCCTCCTGAAAGCTTGCAGTTTTTAAGTTCAGCAAACAATGCCTAAGCTGAACTACTTTATAGGTCAATAAATAAAATTTTATTTCTTCTTTTCCAAACAGTGCTAAATATCTACTTTTATTTACTTTTTTTCCTTCGCTATTTTGATTAACGTTTTTAATTGCTCCTGCTATTAGATATATTCTAGAAGATTGATGAAGATATATAGATATAAAGAAATCTTGTAAGACAAGCGATTTTGTGCGGCTTAATCTTAAAGGTTACAGAAAATGGGATGAATATTTAATAGACTATCCTTACTCATATCTTTTTTTTTAAAAAAAAAATCTTTGGCCTACTTTTTCTTCCCTCCCTTCCAACTCAGAGTTACTTGGATACAAAATTGTCAGCAGTGCATGAGTGAATACTCCATTTATCTTAACAACAAGATCAAAGCCAATAAAAATAAAAATGTGGTTAAAGTGGTACTGCAGTGATAGAGTAGTAAGGAAAATATCACCTCTGTTCTTTTCAATACAGGTAATCCTTGACCTACAGTCACAATTAAGCCCAAATTTTCCACTGCAGTTGTCAAGTGACTTTTGCCCCATTTTACAATCTTTCTTACCACAGTTGTTAAATGAATCACTGCAGTTGTTAAGTTAGTAACACAGTTGTTAAATGAATCTAGCTTCCCCATTGACTTTGCTTGTTACAAGATCACAAAAGGTGATCACATGACCTTGGGACACTGTAACCGTCATAAATATGAGTCAGTTGTTAAGCATCTGAATTTTGATCATGTGACTGAAGTGGTGCTGCAATGATCATAAGTGTGAACACATGACTTTTTTCAGTGCTGTTGTAACTTTGAACGGTCATTAAATGAACTGTTGTAAGTCAAGGACTACCTTAATCAGTTGAATTTTTTGGCAATAGCTTTGTTTTTGTCACTGTGAATTCTAGGAAAAAATATATACTCCACACTTTTCATTCAAAAAAAGCTATTCTCTTGTAACAATCTTTTCCTGAATGTCCATCTAAGATGAAGGATATCAGGGCAGCTCAGCCAATGCCTGGGGAACATGGCAATGATTTGCATCCAAGAATAGCCAACCTTCAATCAATCAAACAGAACAGAGCTGGAAGGTACTTTAGAGGTCTTCTAGTCTAACCTCCTACTCAAGCAGGAGATCCTATACCATTTCAGACAAATGGTTGTCCAATCTCTTCTTAAAATCCTCCAGTGATGGAGCACCCACAACTTCTGGAGGCAAGCCGTTCCACTGATTATTTGTTCCGACTGTTAGGAGGCTTCTCCTTAATTCCAGGTTGCTTCTCTCCTTGATTAGTTTCTATCCATTGTTTCTTGTCCTGCCCTTTGGTGCTTTGGACAATAACTTCTTTGTGGCAACCCCTGAGATATTGGAACACTGCTATCATGTCATCCCTAGTTTTTCTATACTCTAGACTGGCCACACCCAACACCTTTTGTCAATCTAGAACAGTGTTTCTCAACCTTGACAATTTTAAGGCATGTGGACTTCAACTCCCAGAATTCCACAGCCAGCAATGCTGGCTGTGGAATTCTGGGAGTTGAAGTCCACATGCCTTAAAATTGTCAAGGTTGAGAAACACTGATCTAGAACTCTTCAGAAGTTCTGAAAATCCAAAAACATCTTGGTTTCTGCCAATGGATAGTTGGGGTGCAATTCTCACCCTGATATTAATTTTATGGTCTGTATTCTTTTCTCTTGTAGGTGGAGTTGACACCATGCCACAGATGTTGACCTATTCAGTACTGGTACTCTTTGTGACATTGTTGCTGGGATCCTTGCCAACTCTTGCCCAGAGAGAAACCCGTCATGAGAAATTCCACCGGCAGCATGTTGCTGCAAAGTCCAACGTACTGGATCCCAGGCTCTATTGCAACCTGATGATGCAACGAAGAAGTATGACGAACGTCAAGTGTAAACCTGTCAACACCTTCATCCATGGGGAAGATACAGCAGTGGATGCCATCTGCAACAATGGGGGGACTCACTCAAGTGAAAATTACTACGACAGCAATAGCTTGTTTGAGCTCACCCGTTGCCGCTCGACAGGGAGAGGAACTGAGCCTCCCTGTTCCTACCGGGGCTGGCTTACCACCCAGCGGGTCAGAGTTGCCTGCGTAAATGGCCTGCCAGTGCATTTCCAACAAGCTCTTTAGAAATAGCTATGACCACCATTAGAAATATCATTGACCATGGTGGCTAGTTAGAGATTATATATCTTCAGCTATTTTAGAAGCCAAGAGGATTCCAAGTCCTAATTTTAGTGCAATGCTGTATTTCAGTTACAATTTGCTCTTGACAACTTTTTTTCATTTCTTTTTATTTGCCTCCCTCTCTTTAGAATAGAATAGAGCTGGAAGGGACCTTGGAGGTCTTCTAGTCCAGCCCTCTGATCAAGCAGGATAACCTATACCAGTGGTGGTGAATCTATGGCACACGTGCCAGAGGCGGCACTCATAGCCTCTCTGTGGGCATGTGCACTGTCGCCCCAGCCTTGCCTCCCCCTATGGCCCCCTCCTCACCAGCAGCCCCCCCAGAGGAGAGTCACCCCTGGGCGCAGCCCACGTGGAGCAGTGCAGCCAAGGACATGGCAGCTGGGAAGCAGGGACAAGACTCCGCCCTCACGCCCCATCATGCGCAGATGATGCTGCAGGGAGCGGGCAGAGGGTATAGCTGCCATGGTGCTGCAGGGCCACTTGGGTGATCTGCTGCAGTAGGCCATGGAGGTGGTGTGGGGCCCTGCAGGCGGGCGGGGCAGGGTGGGCAGGGGGCGGTTTTAGTGCTCTGGAGAATAATTTGAACCCCTCTTCTTTGTGGCAGCCCCTCAAACTCTTCTTTCAGTTTTCTTCTCCAGCTGATTTAAGACAAGTTGGGGACTTCCAAATAGTTTGGGGCTGTGATTTCCCAGGACTCCCAGTCAGCATGGCTGACAAGAACTCTGGGAGATGTAATCCCAATGCAGTTGTGGGGATCTGAGCTGTGGAAGACCTGCATTTGGCCACCATAGCTGGACCGGGTGACCACAAAATGGCTGCAAAGTGAAACACAAAATCTGTTGGAGAATTCTAAGTGTTGTAGTTTACATGTCTGAAAGCTGCCAGGTCTGAAAAATAGCAATCTGAAGTTTTTGCTGCCAGCTAATAAGACACTCAACCCAAATACTGAAACAATATATTTCAGTCTCTCTTTTTTTGTTCTGTACTGCCTTCTAGTGGCTTTGAATCAAAATTTTACTGTTGTACCCATCAAAATCCTAACATAGCTTCTTTAACCTCATACTTTCAGTTATTCTGCTTTCTGAGGAAAATTAGGACTAACAATTCTGCATAGAAAACTGGGAAAACTTCTCACATGATATGTGAGAAGTCATGATATTAAAGTCTTATATGCTCAAATTATTTTTATAGGGTCACATTTTTTTTTGCTAGAAAATATTTTCCATGGCCATCTTTCATTTTAAAAGAGGCCACCATTTGCTTTCCTTTCTAGGGATATGTGTTTTGAAGCATAATGCTGGTCTGTGACCATAATAAAAATTGATTGATTGAACTGAAGCACAATTTTAGGTGCTTGGAGAAACAGAGGTGGTCTGAATTTCTTTTATAAATATAAAATATAAAAAGTATAAATTAAATTAGAATTAAATTAATTTTACATTAATTCAATTAAAATATATTAAGTAAATAAAAATGTAATTAATTTTAAGTTTCAAATTAAATTAAAATTTAAGGCAGTTTTCTTTCAAAAATAAATAATTTTCTTAAAAAAATATTTTTAAAAAAAGAGAATTGAATTTCTGAGCCATTTCTGGCTCAGATTGATTCCTGATCACCGAAAGTTTCTGTAAGCTGTTATGTCAGGGGAGCTTTCACTTCCATCACAAATAATTTGATGGAAAAATCATGAATAAAACTGTATGTTATTATTTCTGGGATTGATGGAATGTGGAAAATATCTATTTCATAGCTTATGCCTGAATGTCTTTAGTAGCTTCATGCAATAAAGTCATTGTTTACATACAGAATGGTATTGTATTATGTCTACTACTATTACTGTTCTTATTTCAAAATGAATGACATTTTTTATCTGCTGCTCCTTTATTATTTTGCCAGCCCCAAAAGTTTTAGAAGTGCCTCTTGTGTTGGGCAATGGACATGATACCCATTAGCAATATTGTTAGTTTAATGCAGACATGTCAAACTCGCGATGTCACGTGATATCGCGCACTGTATCGGGATGGTTTTGCCATTGCCGGCAATGGGGTGGGCGCAGCTTCTGGATGACGCGTCCAGCCCACGGGCGGCAGTTTGACACCCCTGGTTTAATGCATTTTAATATTCTCTTTGGATGACTTAGGACAGCTTATTCACTATGATAGCCATAGTGATACCCAGTCCTTTAGGGGGGAAAAAATCCTTAGATTTAGACTTCAGAAATGAACTGAATGCTTGCAAAGAGTGTAATAGGGAAACCATGTGATTATTTAAAACAGTGGTTCTCAACCTTTTTAATGCTGCGACCCCCAACCGGTCGTAAGTCGAGGACTACTCAACCGGTCGTAAGTTGAGGACTACTCAACTGGTGCAGCACCATTTGCAGAATGGGACTTTTGGCAGGCTCAGCAGGGCAGAGACAGCCTGGACAATTCCTATTGGCTTTGGAAAGCCAATAGAATTAGACTCTATTCAAGAGAGTCTATTCTATTGGCTTTCAAAAGCCAATAGAATAAAAGAGAGTAGCACAGCTAAAGAAAAGGGGGGAAAAATGGCAGACTGCATTGTTTGGCGACCCCCGTGAAATGGTCGTTCGACCCCAAATGGGGTCCCGACCCACAGGTTGAGAATCATTGATTTAAAAGTAGGGTTACAGATCTGGACTGCAAAAATACTAGAGTGTCACTAGGGCACCACTATTTTTGAAATCCTGTAAACCAGCAGGGAAAACAGATATTCATTTAATATCTACCCAGGTTAACCCAAGATTGCCTAGAGAGAGGAATGGTATCTTCTTCTGGACTGCCCATCACGTGGTTTTAACATGCCTTGCTCTGTCTCATTGAAATTGAATAGAATTAGGTGTGTGATACTAGAAGAAGTGCCTCTACCCTGTATTGGTGTGGATGGAAAGATTCCCCTCGTTGCAACTGTGGTGCTGATAGGCAAACTGTTAAACATATTGTGCAAGATTGCCTAACACATGCATTCTCTGATTCTCTAGAAGATCTGCACAAAGCAAATGCCATAAGCGATCGCCTGGATAGCTGAATTGAACACCCAGTTATGAGGCCACTGCCATATTCCCGCAGAAGTTTCATATATAAATATGAGGGTTGTGTATATATGTTTACTTCTCTTTTGTCATGTTCTCACCATATGCCAAATAAGAAGGCATCTCACTGCATTACTATCTTCTATTTCACTTTCCTGCCATCTGTAATCCAGTTATGTAGCCCTAACACAAGGCTGTAGTGGGGAGAATTCCAGTAGAGTTCATAGTACAACATAACATGGACTAAAGAAAGCAGTGTTGCTTACCTTAAACCAAGAGGAGATGAATATTAGTGACTATTTTTGAGTAAGTAACATGCAAATTGGGTGAATCCCATCCAAATTGCTTTCCACCGTGGATTGAGCATACATGATGTATTTGTATGTGTGCACACACACACAAACACACACAAACATGTTTCTGTGTAAAAGAAAAAGCTATGCTGTCCTGCCACAGCATAAGCATCCACTGGAGGGAAGGGTCAAAAAAGACAAGATGCTGATAAAGCCTCAAAACCTATTTTACATTGTCCACAAACAGCAGAGTTTTTATCATGTAAGTACAAATCTTAATAAGTGCTATCTTATTATAGTTGACCACTCCCTTCCACTCTAGAGATGTCCTGCACGAATATCTTACATTTAGGAAAGTACTCTAACTAAGATCAAACATAGTTATAGTTGTCATTTTCCCCACCAACCAGCCTCAATCTTTTCTATACATCCTCTTCACAACCTGTTTTCCTTGTTACCTTCTGGGAGAAGGCTTCATACTATCCAAAGCAGAACATCTAGATTCAGTCTCAGCTTTTTTCCATATAGTATCAACCTTGTGAACTATATACATACACACACACACACACACACACACACACACAAAATTTATGGCTGGCAAAGAGTTAGTGGGAGACTAGTATAGCTATTTCAGGCTCATTAGCCCTCATCAGCTAGTCACACCCTTCAGGGATTCCAACCTGGGCAGCTTGCATGTTAGGCAGCTGTATTACCCTTTTGAGCTACAGGTTCCCCCTTACTCCTGTCAGCAGAAACCAGGGAGGATATATATCTTATCTGTTGGGTGAGGCACCCAGTCTACCAAATATAAATCAGTCTGTTCTGCCTTTCGCTCCAATCTAGGAGCATGTTTTGCAGGCAGACATCACATACTGTGAACACTATAAATTCAAAATTTGTGGCTGGCAAAGAGTTAGTGGGAGACTAGTATAGCTATTTCAGGCACATTAGCAACAGATTATATATATATATATATATATATATATATATATATATATATATGTGTGTGTGTGTGTGTGTGTGTGTGTGTGTGTGTGTGTGTGTGTGTGGTGTGTGTGTGTGTGGTGTGTGTGTGTGTGTATGTCTTTAATAATTTTGAATATTGGAATCCCAGGTATGGACATTTAAAGTCAATCAGATAAAAATAAAGAGCTCTGGGATATATTATTAATTGCTAAGCTTTCATTAACAACCTGTTAACATCATCAGAGCCAAGGGCTAAATGAGAAGGGGGGAAGTATGTGCATAAATTTACATAACAATTAAACAATGGTTACAGTGAGGCATGTGCACATAACATGCTTAAGAAGCTCTTAAAGGCATAAAGCAGTCAGTCTCAAGGCTATATTCAAAAGTCGCGCTTGTCAGCTGTTTGGCGCATAGATCTAGCGCACCTATCAGCTGTTCAGCACAAGGTTCTTAGGGCTTCATGCTCAGTCTTGTGCCAGCTGGATTCCTTCCGTGAGGTGCAGCTTGGGGGTTCATCTCGCTCTATCGCATGCAGCAGCTGAGGGTGTTGAAATGTTCTAGAGTGAGGATGGACCGGCATTAATAATAATAATAATAATAGTAAAGTTGGAAGGGACCTTGGAGGTCATCTAGTCCAACCCCCTGCTCGGGCAGGAAACCCTACACCATTTCGGACAAATGGCTGTCCAGTCTCTTCTTAAAAACTTCCAGTGTTGGAGCATTTATTGCTTCTGGAGGCAAGCTGTTCCACTGATTAATTGTTCTCACTGTCAGGAAGTTTCTCCTTAGTTCTAGGTTGCTTCTCTCCTTGATTAGTTTCCACCCGTTGCTTCTTGTCCTGCCTTCAGGTGCTTTGGAAAATAGCTTAATTTCCCTCTTCTTTATGGCAGCCCCTGA